AATAGATCGTTCTTCATGGAAACACAAACATTTCAATAGAGAGATTCTGGAAAGGCTGCAAATAAAAAGAGAATTACTAATAGATATGAAAAAGAGACCATTGAAATACTTTGGCCACATTAAAAGACACAACACACTTGTAAAATCTATACTGGAGGTTAAGGTCAAAGGCAAGAGAGGAAGAAGTAGGCAATGATACAAGTGGGAGGAAAACATTAAGAGATTGAGGGAGACAGCAGTCCGAGAGAGTGTACAGCCAGGACAAGAGAGAGCCAACCTTGACTGTGGAGATGGCACCTGATTGATTGAAAGGTGGTCAACACTTTAAGTTGCAAACCAGAGGATAAAGAATTAGGCAGCCCTCCTTTTTCATCATATCAGTTGCTATTTTTCTCAATAATTTAATTAACTAACTTTTCCATGAAAGATGTAGTGTCTTTGATTTTAATTTATTTCATTTTTCTCTAGATATTTGTATTTGAGCTTGCCAGCACTCAGCACAGTAAACGTCTACGAACTTGAAAAGGGTAACTCATTGGTATTGATACAGTCGGCCTATCTACATTCTATGGCTGACAATTTACATCTCTCTGAGTCAGGAGACGCGCTGTACTCAGGAGCCCACCCTATACTTCACCAGCTTGTAGTACACTTAGACGACCCCCGGCAACCAGCTCCCTCCTCGGTAGGTTTTCACTCATTTCTCCACTAATTCAGCTCCTACTCTCACAATTTTGGTTCTGAGCCCGTCATCTGGCTATAACACACGTGTACTAATACACTAGTGAAAGTAAAGTAAAGGACCCCTTTCCGCGCTTTTAGGCTTATAGGGCATATAGGGCTAAACCTATATTTTTTATAGACCAATCGGCACAAGAAGAGTGTGGTCAGCATCACGCCGGCCGTGTCTACTTACCGGGACTGCACCCGGTACCCACTCAAGGCTGGGAGCCAAGGTCATTTTTGAAGATAGTGCGGCGAACCCACGACTAAGATACTAAAATCTCCTATAAAAAGTGTCATCCTTAGCCATGTCTTTCATACAGCTTAAACGCGCAACAATAGAATACCGACATAATTTATCTCAAACCATCTAAATGATATCATATCATACATAGATTCATATTAACCAAGAACAATCTAAATGAATATGTCAATTTGTAAATTTAAATATATATTACTAGACATATAGGTTTTTTAAAAACTTTTTACTTGACACAGTCAACACTTTAAAAGTAATGTGATTAACATGGCTAGCAGTATTTCCCTGCATACCTCTCAGTACAGTTAAACCTCATGGATCGAATCTAACTAGAAATGAGTTTTTCAGGACAAGAAGTCAGGCTCACCAATTTTTTTAAACCCCAGAATAAGAGGCGAAATCCAGAATGTGATTAATTCTGTCTGTCTGTCTGTCTGTCTGTCTGTCTGTCTGTCTGTCTGTCTGTCTGTCTGTCTGTCTGTCTGTCTGTCTGTCTGTCTGTCTGTCTGTCTGTCTGTCTGTCTGTCTGTCTGTCTGTCTGTCTGTCTGTCTGTCTGTCTGTCTGTCTGTCTGTCTGTCTGTCTGTCTGTCTGTCTGTCTGTCTGTCTGTCTGTCTGTCTGTCTGTCTGTCTGTCTGTCTGTCTGTCTGTCTGTCTGTCTGTCTGTCTGCCCAACCACCTACATCATATATATATATATATATATATATATATATATATATATATATATATATATATATATATAATATGGTGTATGTGTGGTGTATGTGTGACAGAGTGATTATTAATGATTGTGTTACCTCTTACTCTCACAGGTTTTGCGCTTACCTCTAAAAGATGGCAAGATAGTTCCAGAAGATATCACCGAATTATTCTACGACCACGGAGATCTCATCAGTGCATCATCCTGTGCTGCCATCTACAAGAACAAGCTTCTCATTGGCTCTGTCATCAACAAACTGGTTGTCTGTGATGTTAATGCTGATATTGTTTGATGTTTTTCAACTGCGTGGTCAAGCATCTAGTTAATTAATTAGTTAGTTGATTGGCTGGTTGATTAGCTTGTTAGTTAGATAGTTAATTAGTTAAATCTAACAAAAATGCAAGTAGAACGCTCAACAGAAAGAATGGAAAAGACGCCCACAAATAACAACGGAACTTTTCGATCAATGTCTTTATCAACCGCGTACTCAATACAACACAAACTGTGACTGGAAAACTGAAAGGACAAGACAACAGAGCTTCTATATAAAAAAGAAAAAAAAAACAAGGTCGACATGAAACCAAGAAATACATTATAGGGGTAAAATATGGTTATAAGAAATAGGAAAGAAGGCGTATGAAAACATAGGGGGAGAAATATGAACAAGTTAAATAAATAAATGTATTATTAAATTGAATAATTTTAAATAGAGTTGTGTTGGATATTGATTACTCATAGACTGAGAATGCCAAACTGTGAGTGCAATCATTTTTTAAGCAGTAACTGAGATATTGCTTTTGCCTTGGTGGTCAAAACTGGATGGAGACAGGTTTAGCAGCCTTATTACGACTATCTGCAAAATGTTAAAAGAAACAAAAAAATATATAATTCGGTGGTTGGATTGACTAGCTAGTCATTCATCTAGTTATACTGCTTGTTAGGTGAACAAATTTTGTCAGCTGGGTTGGTTGGCTGGTTGTCTTGTTAATTAGGGAATTAGTAAGACCGATAATTAGCTAGTTGTTGTTGTTTGTTTGTTTGTTCGCGTTCACTGGCTGTAAACTTCCGAGAAAAGTCATGTTTTTGTTGTTGTAAATTTCTGGACATTGGTCTGTTCCAGGACCTGAGTTGTACGGGTGCATCTATTTCACAGATCTGCCTTATTTGCAAACAGACATTTGGTTGTTCGCCTCTCAGTGACAATAAGGGAAAAAAAAGTATAATAAGACTCAATTGAATACATTCCATATCCATTTATGATTCGCGACACACAACAGCCCAATGCAAAAGTCGTCATCAACAACAAGGAAATGAAAATAACCAAAATGGTGGTGATTATGTCCCTCATTTTCATTGCTTCCTTCTTTCCTGCCGCCGGTATTTTTTTTTACCGGAATCGTTGAACCGACATTTAATTATGACAAGTTGAACAGGAGGTTAGTGTTTGTGACTCTATCTGTGTCATTTACCTTAGAAGTCATTAACTCCAGTGTCAACACGTTTGTGTATTTCAAGCCTTTTTGTTTAAAGTCATGAAGAAATAAGCAAAATGAATCAGCAGTCTAAAATAATATTAAATGCTTTATACCACAATTTGAAGGAATGAACTGGGGATACCGGCCCATCATACATTCGGCCCTTTAAAACAGCCATCTTTCGCACAGCAATTGTATTTTACCAATAAAGCATGTTATTTTCATATAACATTATGTACAATATGAATATCAAAAATGGGGTGAGAGGTACAAAAGCATGGATGGTAAATGTGTGCACACATTCACTCACTTACACACATACTACACACAACCACTCATATTTTCTGATGTAGAAAAGTTTGGGAAAGCATGAATGAAAGTTCAGCAACTGTACAGATGGGCCGGGAAACGTGAATAGGACCTGTATTCGTTATTTCTATGATGGAGAAATAACTTACACAAATAAGATACCCTTTTATATGAAGAAAATAACTGCTATGCTGCATTAAAGAGCATACACAAGGTATAAAAAGGGATGCAGGAGATAGGTAAACTCGCATATTTTAAACAAAGAAATAACAGAAATGTGTGTGTGTTTATTATTACTTTTGTGTGTAGTTTATTTAAAATTAAAACATTTAATTGGATGAATAAACATCATCAGTCTATGTGATCTCAGCTTCGTTCGTGCAAAGATACTTTCTTTATTTTAAACATTAGAGGCTACGTTCTTTCAACAGAAAACAAAATTAACCCACATAATTTAGCGGTGCTGATTATAGACCCCAGATATAACTGTAAGTGTGTAATTTCAGAAAGGGTCGTTATTATCTTACGGTATAATATGATGTGGGTATAATATAGGAACAAACATAATTCTGTGTAAAAATGCCCACGTTTGACTATTTTGATGATATAATCATTAAAAGGAAAAGACAATCAGCAATGAAGAACAAATACCAATACATTTTCTGTATGGTACACGAGAGGATATTGACTGCACCATAGCTTTCATAAAGGCTACCGGCCTTCTGGTATAAGTTTTCTGACAGAAGGATCGAAGAAGAAGTAGAAGAAGACAGTATTGGTAAAGAAAGAAAGAAACAAATGATTTGGTCATCAGGTTACAATAGAACAAAAATCAGCCAGCAGGTAGAACATACTATATGTTAAAGTAGGCTACAAGGTATGTAACCGACTAAGAAAGAGATGGGTGGAGGGAGTCAAAGAGGCACTTAAAAAAGCAGTATGACATTAATTATTGTACTCTCCGTGTGGCTTCGGAAGTCCACTGCGAGGAAAATAAGAATAGGCCCACTGCCTCCCAGACAAGCACGTTGTAAGTGTCGACTAATTTGGGTGCTTCCTTCGAAGTCGGAGTGCATCTGCTTTAGAAGCAAGAAACCAACAGTCTGTACACCGGAGCTTAGCTATCAACACAACCTGATCACATAATAACAAATGACGACTGGACCCGCTTAAGACTCCACACAAACTCTCACACACATATCCAATACATGACTAACCCGTTCATATTACAGGAAGACAACTATAAGACCACTATGGTCACACGCGGAAAATTTTCACATTTCGGAACTATTCACATTCAAAAACTGTTTTCAGTACTTTTTGGCAAAATTAAAATACTCAAAATTTTAAAACAATAAATGGTGGCCGAAAGGTCGTTGTGTTTGGAAGCTCGCTCTCCTTCGAGATACGCCTAGCCAGATCAAAGGGAGACAGAACAAACAGGAAACACCAAGAATGAAGAAGGAAGACATGCACCAGTGACAACAGGACGAGCGGTTTAATACGGAGGGAAGCATTAAGCCAGAAATGGCACAAACACCAGTATTCAGTCACGAAAGTGACGCAAATAACCCAGACCACAAATATAGGCGGAGACTGTTAGCAGCCTAGGCTAGCTAGCAGCAGTCTGAACGTGGTCGAGCTTTTCTTTTTTTTTTTTTTTTTCTTAAAAGGACTTGGACTTGGACAGACTGTATACAGATCTGTTAATTAGATGTGCACGCACACTCAGATTCTGGAAAAAGACTCAAATCCGGAGGTAGTCGAACAACCAGGACTTTACACCGTAGTTTATAGCTAGTGTACGCGAAGAAGAAGACGAACACATATAGTCCAGCAGACCCTTAGTCTAAAAATGCTAATTTAAACATTGTTTGATAATGTAAAACAAAGGACTCTTTTCCCCTTTTCATACCTTTAGACGTATTGAGCATATAATGTTAAACACATTGTTTTTAAAATAGCAATCGGCACTCGGTAAATGACGTGGTCAACATTACGCCCGCCGCCTTTACTTTCCAGGACTGTACCTGGTACCTATTAAGGCTGTGTCATCTTCCTCTACTTCTTTGTAAGCTCCAATGGAAAGTCTTGGCTGTTCATCCATCTGTATTATAGCTGTGTGACGAGGCCTGAGTTTTGCGCGTGCATCCGTTTTGCTGATTTATTTGTGTGCAGTTGGTTGTTTCTTGTCCCTCGGGCAGATGCCTTCCGACTTCAAAGGAAGCATCCAGTTAGTCAATTCCTACGACATACTTGTTAGGAAGTCAGTTAGTCTATTCTTGTGTTCCCCGACAATGGGGCTACGGAACTCACAGGAGGAAAGTCTGGATTGATCAGGGAAGCATGTTTATGCGTTGAAAAAGAAAAGGGGGAAAAAACTAAGGCTGTACCGAATATTCGCTTCGGTGTCGAACAGTGGAACTAATAACTATTTGGTATTCGGCCGAATACTTGCGGTCCGATCGAATACGAATAGTGGTTACCTTACACCTGTTTCTGCATACACTGCAATGGACTGAAATAACTCTCTCATTAACACAATAGTTGCTGTTGCCTAAGTCTGTCGTAGAGGGGGAAACTGTGACCCGGTTGCGTCTTACAGCAGCTGGTAAGGTCTTTGCCTGCTAACTCGACCGAGGCATTACAGCAGAGGTTCTCAAACTGTGTGCATATGCCAGGAGTGCCGCGGTAAAAATCAAGAAAAGTCGGCTATAAATTGTGACATTATTAAAGAAGGCGTGAAGATACTTAAAAGTTAAAATTTAAAATGTCTGTCCTTGCCACTGTCGAAAAGAGTTTTTTTTTTTTTTTTTTTTCCCTTGTTTCAAACTCAAAAGTGCATCATACTACATAAAATGCCAACAGCAGCGTGCTAAAAACTGACTTTGTATTTATCCAGAGGTGCGACCGATCCTCCATCTGTATTCGCGAAGGTTCAGCGGATAAGTAAGGTTGTGATTACATTCTGGCTGAAATTTTAAAGTGGAAAATGTGGTCTGTACAATAGTAACTGGTAGCCTCGTCAAGTGAGCACTTATATTTAAAGGCAATGAATTATTTTGTGTTGCTTGTGTATGCATGTATGTGTGTGTGTGTGTGAGTGTGTGTGTGTCTGTGAGAGAAAGAGAGAGAGAGAAAGAGAGAGAGAGAGAGAGAGAGAGATCATGCATTTTTCGTTCTTTCAGTGTGTCTTTGCCCAGATAAAATTTGAAGATATTGCTAGCGAGAATATGAAGGTGCGTTTAAATTACGTCGAACGAACGGCCGAACGATGGTTTTGAAAGAAACGGGAGCCCGAAAACAACTTATCACAGACATCAGAAGGATACAGTCATCATTTTTCGGCCATGTTATAAGAAAAGGGAAAATGAAACATGTGGTGACCACTGGAAAGATCTGTGGAAGGAGGGATAGAGGAAGACAACGAGAGAAGATTCTTGAGCAGTCTTGTTGCATGGCATGGAGGTGTGTCAGTACACGAACTAATGCATGCTGCAGGAGATCG